AGACCTACAAAAGCCTCTTTTACAACAACAACGCTAGATATACATGGTTATATACCTGTGTAAGTGACCACCCAAGATACTTTAAAAAATTGTCTTTTATATAGACAGGTGTTCTTTATATAAAGGTTGATTAATTCATTTTTCAGTTCAAGGCTTAATTTGTCAACAAATATTTAAAGATGGAGAATAAATAAATATATGCTTGTTTGTCTTGATTGAATTGGAAATGTCAGAGTGGCTTCTGTACACAGTTTTTTTCTTTTTACAAACTGGTGCCTGAATGATAGTCACTGGTAAGGTTAGGTGGGTGATCAGGTTTATATGTGCAAGTTTCTTTGACCTCAATTTTAAAGGGGATAGAGAACAATAAGACCAAATGACTGATATCATAACATTGCAACCTACCGTATATAGCGCCTCCATGAGTTGGTGCTAGATCTTGAACATTTGTGTAAGCTCCAGCTGATCCCAGTCCATCGGTAAATAGTGTAAAACACAGCAGTCCCAAAGCTTGGACGTAACAATTAATATGTCCGATTAGAAACAGACAAGTTACATTAAAAAGAGTCCCAATTGTCTGAAATTGAAACATTGATAAGCATATTGTCACTCATTTCACTTTGTTTCTGATCACTATTATTAACCTGTATTGTTTTCATTAGAAAATTACAAATTTTAGAATATCTTGAATTGTTACTTGTAGAATATTCGGGACACTATTTGTGTCGTCACTGTCTGTAGCGGAAAATAATAATTCTCACCAGGTTTTGATCAGAATGCCCCATTTTTTTTCTAGTTATATTCAACATTAAATGGTTAGCTTTCAATAAAAACTTGCTGACAATACAACAATGATGGTATACCAAATTAGCAATAATGTCATCTAATTGGCTAATGATACAGGTGAGCATTGGTGAGTATGATTTGCTTTTGGATCACACCACAAGAGAGGAAATTAAAATTTAATGTGAGGGGCTGACTAATAAATAAATAAATAATGTAATAAACCATGTGATAACAAACATCAGAAGTTGCTAGTTGACGTGCAAGACCAGAAGTTTTTTTTTTTTCCACAACATTCTGAATTTGAATAAATGGTCTAACTCCTAGGTGAAATGACGATCAATTCAACCTTTAATGAACAAGTCAGAGATAGGGCACTAGAACCACATTTATTAAAACAAAATGGCTGCCAGTCGGCCATTTTGAATCTTATCTGAAAACAAAATGATGTGCATCAAGGTCCTGAGAAATGCTTGATTTTGATGATTTTTAGCACAAAATTGGCCACCATTCGGCCATCTTGAATGAGATCGTGAAACAAATTGACATGCATATGTATAATATCATGTATGATGCATGTGTGAAGTTTGATTGTCATTGGTCCAGGCATTTCTAAGAAACAGGTCCGGACGCAGCCACGGACGGACGGACGGAAACACGGTCGCACAGAGTTCAAAACCTTAGTCCCCGTTTTCGGACTGCGTCCGAACAGGGACTAACAAGTTTCCTGGATTATTTGATGCTTTCTCATGACAGACATTTTGCTGGCTATAGTTTCAAATAAAGAATATACCACGTGACACCGGTAAGTTCTTTTCAACATCACTTTTAAAATGTTACCTCTGCAAAATGTAAGGCATATGAATAATTTGTTGTACCAAACTTTTCATAAAAAACGTCATAAAAACGATAACAGCTTAACTTACTTGTAAGTATTTTCTGGCCACTGTCCGTGTGCAGTGGTTTGCTATGAGCCAATCCGCAATATATCCGCTGCAAAAATGTGACGGAATGTTGAATATCCATGGCACAACATTGAACACCCAACCCTGTATATATCGTTAATGCAAAAAAAAAAAAAAAGCTGAGTACGGTATTCACACATCCTGGTACTATGCATGACCTCCTAAAGGTCACACATCCTGGCACTATGCATGACCCCCTAAAGGTCACACATCCTGGCACTATGCATAACCCCCTAAAGGTCACACATCCTGGCACTATGCATGACCCCCTAAAGGTCACACATCCTGGCACTATGCATGACCCCTGATGGTCACACTTACCGTCACGTGATTCATTAAAAACAAAGACAAGTTTTTGAATGGGACCTAAGTATGGCATGCATTTTCCAAATAAATTTGAACTTGTTAACACTTGCGAATACATTTGTACAACATCTATTGAAAACCAATTTTGTCAAGCAAACCTCTGGGATTATGGTACAATATGGCAATTTAAGGGGTGCACTGGCAAAATGAAATACGTTGCCATCTTGAGAGGCATCTTGTGTCATTTCCCATAATAGTGTGTGCCGTGGTGTGACAAAATGGCGACTATTCAACTCTTAGATTTCACATCCTATTTTTTGATACAGCCTTGTGTAGGGTCCTTTTGCCAATGCAATTATGTCTAAAACAATAAGACTTGGTCATCTTTATGCAATTATATTTAAAGAAAAAAATTTTAAAATTACAGCTATAACTACTTTAAATTACATTTTTCTACAATTTCCTGAAATTTGTTCCAATCGAGAAAATATTTGCAGTGAAGGTTGCTTATGAGTAAAGTGCCCTCTAGTGGCCAATATTACAGATATTTATTATTGACTTGTTTATTTTATTCTTATTAAATGTTTAAGAGGTATGGTCAATGAAAGGCAGTGGTCATCGTACAGTGCATGTTTGAATATTATATATACAAACAAAAATGCATTGTATATGTCCCATGATGAAAACAACATGGCGTGACAACCAATGCTCTTTACAACAATGCCATCCATAACTAATATATCAACTTCCATGCTTAATTGCCCTGAAAGGGAACGGTGTGATGGCCACACTGTAAAGAGCCTGATTAATAACTGTATTTTATTCACGCTAAATTTCACTGTACAAAATGCATTGAATCAAATAATAACAAGTCATTGAAAATGACACAGTCCCCGTAAAATTTTTGAAAGTTCTCTTTGTGCTTGTCATATTAAAGCGGAGGGGTTGTCGTGAGCGTGTCCATGAAACTTGAGTTCCAAGTGGCGTATACAACAGATTGTTTATTTACATCAAAACATGTGTTCCATGTAGTAGTAATATGGCCAAAATAAAAACAGCCGTTATTCGGCCATCTTTGATCTGATTATGAAACACACTGATATGTATGATGTATGTGCCGAATACGAATAAAAATGGTACATAAATTGTGGAAATATAGTAGTAAGGCCAAAATATCAGATGGCTGTCAATCGGCCATCCTTGACCAAATTTTGAAACAAATTGTTCTGGACATGCATTCTAACACGTATAAAGTACATGTATGTGCCAAATTTGAATGAAAACTGACAGATCACGTCCAAGATACCGCATAAAAAAACAAAAACAAGATGCCTGCCAGTCGACCATCTTTGATCCAATTGCGAAATAAATCATCATGGACATGTATCCTAACATGTATAATCTATGTAGCAAGTTTGAATGACAACTGACAAAGCATGTCCAAAATACAACATTTTCAAAAAACAAGTTGGCTGCCAGTCGGCCATTTTGATTCAAATCGCTAAACCACTGCATGTGCATATGTCCCACATAAGGTACTAGGCACATGCAAATAATGAACGGAATCGATCCACAGGATTCTGAAATATGACTCTGGACAGACTGACGCATGGACAGACTGACGCATGGACGGACGGACACACGAACGGACGGACAGACTCAGGAACTCATGGACGGTCGGGGACATGTATCCTAACATGTATGATCTATGTACTAAATTTGAATGAAAACTGACAAAGCATGACAAACAGTTTCAAAAAACAAGATGGCTGCCAGTCGGCCATCTTTGATCCAATTGGGAAATAAATCATCATGGACACGTATCCTAACATGTATAATCTATGTACCAAGTTTGAATGAAAACTGACAAAGCATGTCCAAAATACAACATTTTCAAAAAACAAGATGGCTGCCAGTCGGCCATTTTGAATCGAATCACTAAACCACTGCATGTGCATATGTCCCACATAAAGTACTAGGCACATGCAAAGAATGAACGGAATCGGTCAAAGGGTTTCTGAGATATGACTCCGAATGGACGCACAGATGCACAGACGCACGGACGGAGACCGAATTATAAGTCCCCTGTTTTCGGACTTCGTTCGAACGGGGACTAATAAGGCAAAGTTAAAGGGCGATGGTCGTGCAATGTATTTCCTGTTTTATACGTCGCTATGAGTCCTATATTGAACAGAACATGACACAACGACCACTGCCCTTTAAAAATAGAATGTATTGTTTGAATTTAAATCCTAGTGAATATTCCCGAAACATCAAACATGCTAAAATTAAACACATGTATATTTCTCCCCCTACAGTACGTGCATGTTACCTATCAAATACCAGCAAATTAGTGTGTCAGGCAATGTGTATTACAAACATAAGGAGTATGAAAATGGCAAATAAATGCTGTTTTGAAAAAACCTAACAATTAATTACCTTTTCATCAGGAAATGTGTCTCCAAAATACGTTGGAAGCCATGAGAATAAAGTGTGCCATGCATATCCACTACAAAACATAGTTGCAATCAAGGCCCTGTGTGATAGAATACATAAACCAGAATATGTAAATAATGAAATAAATCAATGAGTGAAAGAATAAACTAGTGAAATAAATAAATGAATGAAATATATAGAAAATATATGTATGAAAAATGTTAAATTTTTAGTTTAGTTTTTGCAGATAAATAAATAAACAAACAAGCATACACACATACAAACAATCAAAAAATCAAGCAAACAAACAAACAAACAAACAAACAAACTAACTAACTAACTAACTAACTAACTAACTGATAATGGTACATGGTTAGGCGTTGACGCCATTCATAATAAAATAAATGTGTATTCGAGGCGGCTAGTGGGGATGGCACTTGATGTGATTCACCGGGCCATATCTGTGGAGTGGAAAAGAATTGTACTCAATCAAAAAGTGACCGATGAGTCAACTAAAATCAAATATCACATCGAACTTTTCTATAGAGACGACGATAACGACATCCTTCTGAATAGTCCGCTCTACAAATTAGAAAGGGGAGAAATTTACAAATTCCTGATAAAGTCGCAGTATTTTTCCAACCGTAACTCACAGTTTAACACTATATGGCACGACTTACTTTCTCTCTCTCCCAACTCTAAACCCGTCTTTAGAGTTTGTTATATGACCCCAATCACAGAGAAAGACGGCGACCTTAATTGGCGCATGCTCCACGGCGCCTACCCAACTGGGGGGTTTCTTTTAAAAACCAAAGCCCAGACCACTGATACTTGTCCCTTCTGTGACAAAAGGGACGACATTACCCACATTTTTATTGAATGCTCGAGACTCGCCCCACTTTTCAACTTGCTGAAATTAATTACCAATAAACTTATAAATCTTGACACTATACCACTTTCTTGGTACATACTAGGCCCACCAAGCAAAAGAACCGCTACACATCGTTTGCTCTGTCATATAATTTCAACTATGAAAGTGGCAACTCACGTAACACGATATAAAAGGTTAAACGATCGGGTACAAACAAATGTGTAACAGTGTTTTAAATC